CCTGTCGTGCCAGAGCTGCTGCCAATGTACACAAGCTCTGGCCCCTTTGGGCCTGATTTTTATGCTGTACAGTAGTTTGGGGGTAAAGGTTAACTCTCACTCCACCATAGGGTATTATTATTTTAAACTTTTATATGAGTCAGAGAGAAGTTAACTCCAGCTCACCCCACAACAGAAGTAAATTTACTTATTCTTTGTAGTTTTCCTCTGACTCCTGCCTTTATGGTGCAGTAAGTACTTGAAAAAAAGGGATACTCCCACCTCTTAAAGTTTAAATGTGCAGCTCTATGCCTTTGCCGGGCTACAAACCTACCAGCCAGCAGGGCAGAGTTGTCTGGGGTGTACCAAGGGGTTTGCTGAGAGACTGCTTTTATTGGACACTCAGTAGAGCAGCTTGCAGCAGAATTTGCTCTGAAGCACCCCAGGGTAGCAGGGGATGCAGAGCAGCCAGGAACTGATCCCCTGGGATGTCTTCCTGCACTGCAAACGATGAAATCACCTGCCCCATGCACTGACTAGAGAGCAGGGACGTGGCTTCCCTGGCCTTGGTGTGTTTCAGGAATGCAGGAAATGATGCTAGATATTCTACTGTGAATATGGGGATCACATCTGTGTGTGTGTAGGTTGGAAAATACCTCTGAGATCATCTAGTCCAACCTTCAGTCCATCCCCACCATGCCCCTCAGTGCCACATCTACACGTTTCTTGAACATCTTCAGGGACAGTGACTCAGTCACCCCCTGGGGCAGCCAATTCCAATGCATCCCCACACTTTCAGAGAATAAACTCTTCTTAGTGCCTAATCTTAACCTTTCCTGACACAACTTGAAGACATTCCCTCTCATCCTATCACTGCTATGCAGCAGAAGATGCTGACATCCACCACGCCATAACCTCTTTTCAAGTAGTTATAGAGAGTTGTGAGGTGTCTCCTGAGCCTCCTGTTCTCCAGGCTGAACAATCCCAGCTCCCTCAGCTGCTCCTCGTAAGACTTGTACTCCAGACTCCTCACAGCTTCATTGCTCTTTCTCTGGACACACATCAGGACCTCCTTGTAGTGAAGGGCTTAAAACTGGGGGCAGTGAGATTGTTAGAATCACATACTGCCAGGGCAGTACATTTTGCATAGAAACACACATCTACATACCCCATGGATAAAGCGTCCTAATCTTTAGTGCTGGGATGACAATGTTGTTGTGAGATGACAAAGTCAAATGTGATATCCATAACTGCTAAATCTTTGTAGAATTGGTGTTTCTCAGGTGTCTGCTCAGAAGCTGTCTGTCCTCCTCCAGAAGCACAGACAAATCAGACTGTGAAGAACTGTAGATTTTATTACTGTTGTTGTTGTTCTTTGGACTCCATGTTATTTCAGATCTTCAGAATCTTAAAAGTGACAGGCTTACTGTTTGAATAGGTCTAAAATTAATGGGGTGTTTTTCCACTTCATAAGCTCCACTAATAGAGGTCTGTAAAACAGCACAGAAATAATAGGGAAAAACGTGAGTTTCTTAGTTCTCCAGTGGTCCATCCCTCAAAGGAGATCTGTATTACATCAGGCAGGTCAAAATAAGGGGGAGGCACTGGGTACTGCTGCAGGTGGAGGGCAGCCCATTGCACTGGGCTCCACTGCAAGGAAGCAGCTCAAGGAACCAGGTAGAAAAACAGGCAAAGCTGATACAGCCGACTGATCTAGATCTGGTGCCAGTTTAAAGTACTCCTCCAGGAGCTCTGAGATCCCTATCGTAGATAAATTTGCCATGAAAATTATTAGCTAGCACCAGTAAACACCAGTAAGTGAATAAATTATTTTTTCCAGCCAACAGCATTGAATAATCAAGTAGAGAATATCTGACTTAGCCAGATAGTTTGATAAAAGAAGGAAATCACTTAGCAGAGCACATCTCTTCCCTTGTCTTCCTCACCTCCAAGGAACAATGGTCTGCTCTGCATTTCAACAGCTACTTTTGTACAGAGCAGAGAGAGAACCAAAGGAAGGAACTGTGCCCGCCTGCACAGATAGTGATGGAAACATCTCAGCCAGGTCTGCACAGCTGTGGGAGTGGGTCTGCATAAAGTAGACAGAGTTCTTCAGTGAGGGAGAGGAGAGAGATCATTTCCCAGAGTGTTTTTGCCCAGAGGAGGGAGAATTGTTCCCATTGCTCCTGCTGCTGCGTGGCTGTGCTGCTGATTGCATGCTGGTCTGCTTTGCAAGGGATGGTGCGGACTGGTTCTGGCTCAGGTGCCTTTGAGGATGGAAAAGCAGCATATCGGATGGCACACCTGTCTGGCTGCTGTCTGCTTTTATTTTTTTCCTTAATGCCACTTATACAGGAGCACCTATTTTCATTGTCTCCTCTCTTCATTCTCCTCTTCCATCATTTTCCCACTAATTTTCTGCTGCTCATACTTTACTCATGCCTAAGTTGTAGTATTTTTGTGTTTGTTTTTCTTTCTTCACCTGAGTGATGGGGGAGGAGCCACATTCAGCTCAGAAGATCTTCTGCATGGGTGCCAGAACAGCACAGAGTGGCAGGAGAACTCCTGCTCTCCTGCATCTCCATTTCCTCTCCTCTCACAGATTCATCTTCGGAGTTTATGTTTTTCCTTAGCTCTTGATCTGTTCAGGCACAAAATCAGGATGCCCCACGATGGTATCTATTTATTATGAATACTATAAATTCCAGATACACTGGGGGTGTGCTGCCTATATTCAACTTGAACTTTGCAGAAATCCCTCTTTTGGTGGCAGCCAACACACTTTGCCATGCCAACAGGTGGTGGTGGTTCCCAGCTGGCCCTCTGGCATGACACACACTAAAGTAGAAAAGAAGCAGGATATGTTAGGGGGAGAGGTGTGATAAGGGAGGCCACAGCTGTTGTTCTTCTGCATATCCAGATAGCTGCTGGCTGAGCTTGGAATTCTGTTTGCTTACCAAACAGGTCCTTCAGGATGGGCTGGCAGAGGGTACTGCAGGAGGGCTGCTGTGTGCTGACAGGACTGCTGCAGGCAGGCCCACTGCAAACTTTCTCAAACAGCTCTGCTGACTCACCTCAATCCCACTCCCTGGAGCTCCTTCCCCTTCCCCTGCTGGGCAGCAAGAATCTCCGAACAGCAAATATAAGGAGAGGACCAAACTGAGTGCTGAGGAATTGCGAAGTTCCTTGCAGTTGCAAATAATCTGGCTAATATGCTCTTGGCAAGTCAGCACGATCTGCAATCAAAGTGTTAGTCTTTTCTCTCAGGTAATAGCCTGAGAGGTAGTGGCGTCTCAGAAGAGGTGATGGCCAGACAGAAGATTTGTGGAGATCCCATAAGGAAGAGTTTGAAGGAGAGGAGAGAGTGCAATCACTCATCTGCAGCAATCTCTTATGAGATCTCTGGCAACACAGCACCAATTTTCCTACGTGAGCATTATAATTCCATGCTACCTCCCCTTAAAAACCATTGGGTTACACACAAGAACAGGTCCAATAGTGCTGCCCAGCACCCAAAAATAAGCAGAACAACGAGCTGAAAAGGTTTTTTCCTCTCTCTTGCATACACACTTGCACAATGATAAGACGAGAAGGAATGTTTTCAAGTTGTGCCAGGGGAGGTGCAGGTTGGGTATTGGGAAACAATTATTCTCAGAAGGAGTGGTGAGGCAGTGGCACAGGTTGCTCAGGGAGGTGCTGGAGTCACCGTCACTGGGGGTGTTCAAGAGCTACATGGATGAGGCCAATAATGTGGTTGCCCTTTTGAATGGATTAAAGCAAACTCTTAAGAGGGTACATCTGGGCATGGTTCTTCAGGGGAGCAAGCAAGACAGCAGGCATTGGTACTTTCTGGTGTGTACTGCCAATACAAGGGCAATAGGGGTGGCCAGCTGGGCTGCAAACAGAGTTGCTACACGGGACAGATTCTCTTCTGGTCTTCATTGGAAACAAATCCTAACACTCTAAGTGCTTAAACTATGGTGAGTTTTTCTCCCTGTCACAAAATACTCGGGGACATTGTGGGGCAATATTAAGAAGTAATGTATGATGGCACAGTAGTATGGTTTCCCATATGGTGCCTTAAACTTGTTTTTGCTCTGAAGGAATGGGTACGTACCCTGTACCAGATGTGGTTTGCAATAAACTAACTTTCATGCTCCTTGTTTCATGAGGCTCTTTAGAGATTTACCACTGGACCACAACGTTCTGTGTAATGCTGTGTCTCAGCAGTTTAATTTTTGAGTTTTCTGCTCCTCCTCAAACAGTAACCTCCTGATTTTCTCTCCAGGGCCATTTGTCACACAGAGGTGGATATTCTCCTGCTCCTCTTCCCTTGCGCATGATCCTGAGGGAGGAGATGCTGGGCTGGGTGAGGTGTCCTATGCTACCCCAGATTTGTAGTTCACTATCTTAATAATGATGGTTTGTTTGCCCTCATAGCACTGAGAAGACACAATAGCTTAAAAGGCCTAGTTTTGCAAAGATGTAATTAAAACAGCCAAACTTCACATAGGCACTCTCTAAATCAGGTTTGCACTGATTGGTGTTGTTTTCACAGCACTGTAAATTGTTCGATGTTGTACAGCTATAAACAACACAGGGCATGTAATACAGGAGAATTACAAATGCTACTTGGAGCTGCCTGACTGCCTCGGTGGTAGTTCACAGTGGTTTGAACTGTTGTCCTTGGAGGATAATGCAACAAAATTTACACAGTGCTTAGCTGCAAGAGTTCTTCATTGCCAGGCCAATCATTACTTTTCCTTAGACTCTGCCGTAGGGACCAGGGTTACCACCAATACCTTTTACAGTTTCTTTTTACACAGAATGATATAACATTTTCGACTAAAATGATGCAAATGAATAAAAAAATTTTGCTCTGATCCCGTTTAATTTCAGGAGCTGAACTGAAAAACAAGACCAAATGTGATCACCTTGGATTACTTTGCCTTTGTCCATTCGGTCTGAGTGCAAGCAGCAGTGGTAAAGGGAGAGCCACTTTGCAGAGTATGTACCCAGTAGTGCCTAAAATACTATGGGCCTGCTGAGCCGGAATTATAATTGGTTTAACACTTTTCTTTTTTGTCTCTCCCAAAAGAATACTAAAAGTGGGTTTTAATTTACCTTCAATTAGCATTTCCTTGGTTTTCACCCTGTAAGCTGTCTCTCAACAAGCTGCAGTCACTCGGTAGAAATTACACACAGCTAAGTTTTTTTTCTGCTGTACCACAGCAAGCCGTGTTGTAAAAGCTAGGAGAAATAAACACTGGTTCAGTTTGCCTTGCTTGCCATGTTGGTGAACATTACTTCTGCCTCTGTGAAAGTGTTTCAGTACGAGCCCAGTGTTGGCTGTGCGACATGCTGGACCCAAAGGGGTGACTCTGGCTGGTGTACAAGTGCAAATTCTGCTTTCCACATGCATGATGACACTGCAGGGCACATTTCTGGGCACTCTGCAACTGGCCAGTATGCAAGCAGGAGTATTTTTTTTCTCAGGAAAGTAAATTTCTGCACAGTCAGCTGAGTGCAGCAAGCAGTGACCATGGCAGTAACAGTTTTTCTGTGGTCGTTTTCATACTTCACTTCCCCAAATCTTTGCTGGTTACCCAAAATACACATAATATTTAAACACACATGTTATTAACTCTTTTCTTGGTTCCATGCTCCCCTGGCAGAACAAACTTGCCCAATACCAAGTGTGCATTTTCTAATGTACTTCTGCCTTCAAAAGGACCCTCCTCCCCATGCTTCCCTCAGCTGGCCAAGCTCCACTTATAACTTTTAACAAGTTCAGTGCTCTCTGTGAGATCATGAGGCTCAGGAACAATTCTTACTAAAGAAGCCTCTCTTACAGCTTTGCCACCACTTTAATTCCAGCAACACTGAGTTATGCTGCCATGAGATGAGTCAAAATGCTGTTTGCTTGGATAGTATTCAGTGACAGAGAGAAGGAAAAAGCCTATATTCTGATTGTGTGGGCTTCACAGGCTTTGACGAGTGATTCACAAGGCATAGGAGAGCTGCAGAAATTTTCTGCAGGCTCCCAAAAGCTGAAACATGCACACTGGATTGAAGCCCATAGGTGAGAGCAGAGCTCTGCTGCCCAAATGTGGAGTGCCATGCATTTTTGGGCCCTTCTAGTCTAGAGGAAATGAGGAGGCAGTTTCTCTTCCAGCTCAGGCTTCTCTTAGTCCCACCCAGGAGGGCTAGTTCTGCTGACAAAAGGTGTTCTTCCTCAAGAACATCCTGCATCTTTCTCTGCACCAAAGTCTTGATGCATGGCTGAAGTCCATCGGGGGTGTGAAACTCTCCCTTTGTTTGTCTTTTGGTGTAACTGCACAGCTTTCACAGTAGCACAAAGCAAATGGCCATAAGAGTCTGAAGGTGTAAAGCTGCTCAGAATGGCTTCTTGCAGTGTGGAAAATACAGAAAATCCAGCTATTTCCTGGGTGGAAGGAAATAGTGCTATAATGAATCTAACGATCTGTCCCTATTCTGGTCCAAAAAGGAAATAAAAGCAAGTTCAGAGAACAGAGCAATAGACACAGTAAGCATTTTTATTGGTAAAAATTTCCAGTTAGGGCTCTTGGCAGCTGCTAATTGCCTGAAGTCTCGGTGCCAGAGAATTGAGATTTCATCCATATTTATATATTGGCTAACGTAACTCTAGAAACTCCCAACAACTCCCAACAGCCAGCTGATTGCCTAATTCTTTCTTGAATCCTGCTGAGCTCGTGGTCTTTAGGATGCCTTCTGACAGACTGTAACCACATGTATAAACACACATAGAAACTATAAACACATGCATGTGTTCTTACACAATGTGCATGTGTTTCCCTTGTATTTGTTGCATGTCTGTTTTCTTTGAACATCCCTTGTTCTTGGATTACAGATGCAAGGGATAAATAAAACCCCAACTTGTCTCCTCTGAGTCATTTAATACTTCGCATCCCTCCCAGTGAATGCTTGGACCTGGTTCTGTGCGTGTGTATACTGTAGCTGTGCAGTGTGTGTTGGTTATGAGATGTGGCCATTGTTCATTAATTCCTTTGGTAGTGTTCTCACATGTGGGAGGGACAGATGATGTGGAACATATTACTTTAGAATTGTTTCAGAACAGCATTTAGCTTAATCATGAACTAGGCAAGGGGGTGTAGAACCAACAAAGGCAAAACAGATGCTACAGGGAGGGATGTTGGGGGGGGCAAGCTATGGAATGCAGCCTTATCTCATGCCATTCCAGACAGTCGTCCTCACTTATTGGTTCAAACTCTGCCACTACAGCAAGGAATAAAATCTGCATGTCAGCAGTTGGAGTGGAGAATATTATAATAACTTCTTGGAACCAGTTGTAACATCCCTTCCTATTCTAATTGTAATATCAGAGTAATCTACACCTAGTTTCTTGGAATTGTAATATCTCCTTCTATTCTTATTGTAAAATCAGAATAATCTATGTTCAGTTTCTTAGAATCAATTGTAATATCCCCTCCTATTCTTACACGGGTATAACTTGTCTCTACAAATGCGCTTAAACTGTCCCTTTATGGTGTGCAGGTTAGGAGAGGCTACTCCTTCTGCACCCAGAATGTGTGCGCAGCACTGTAATTAAAAATATACCTGCTTTATAACCACTTCGTGGTTATGGAGTCAAGTCAGTATTGGTTGCAAGATACAAAAACATCAGTGCTATCCAGGTGATTTCTTTCTTAACCTGACCTGTCTCCACACCACACCAGAATCTGGTGGTCTGGAATGGTAGTTTTAAGCAGGTAACTGTCACCTTGGCTTTTTTGTTGGTTCACCTAGAAACAGAATGTTTGATGCTGGGTGGAGCTGAACAGAACTAATGTACATCTAGGATTTTTGGAGCGCTGGAGAGCATGTTTGCTCGTTTTGCTTTGTTTTTCTTTTTCCAGCTTCTCAGTTGCACCTGTGAAAGAAGTAGCTTCGTTCAGCCAAGTGTGGTATCAGAAGTCTTTGGTGGGTAGGGAAATGACCGGGCAGAGTGACAAGGTGGGCTGCTAGAGATATCACACTCTAAATTCCTGCTTCCTGCAAAGGAAGAGCTGAAGAGAGAAGGAAGAAACTACAGAAAGAGGTTGAAGGGAAATCTGGATTATACATTAAGACATTGATTACCTATTGGTTTGAAGAAGGCCTGAAGGTGAGGAAGTGCTGGCTAAGGGAGAAAGTAGTATATTGGTTTTGTGATAATGGAGCGTTGGAGGGTCAGACCCGTTTTTTCTCATCATTTGTTGTATGCTTAATGGCTGTTTGTACAACCTACAGAGAGCTGCCAAGCTCTGGCTTTTACAAACTGGGTATACCTGTGCAGTCCCTTCCCCAGTCCTTTCCCAGCATCCCCAGGTGAAGCACAGAGCATGCCGAGGGATCAAGCAGGCCTGGTGAACCTGAGTGGACACTTGCATGAATAGCTTGCATCAAGGCTGCATGCATCAAGGTGACATTTCCTTCTCCTTCTCTGGGTTGATCCCAGAGAAGAAATAACAGGCAAAAAACACAGGGAGAGAGACTAATGAGACTGCAAAGTCAGAGTTTGCAAGACCTGGCCGTGATGGGTACATTAAAGATATATCCATTAGTCTCTTAGTAAGATTTTACTTGGAATCTGCAGGCATTTGAGTCACTTCTGGTAATCACATTGTCTTATTCTTGCTTGTAACCATGCTTGAAAACTGTGAAGAGGTGCAGAGAAGCTCCAGCACTTGGTCTGAAGGATTGATGTTGGTGTTCCGTGTGGAAGCATAGCTCCTGTTGAGGTTGGTACAGCTGAAGAGAAGACACAACACTATAAGTGTTTGCCTTATGTTTGTCATAGGGAACGAAGGAAAAGGGTTGTAGGAGAAGCCTATCCATCCATGTGGATAATGCTGAAACTAACTCAGGCTGTTTTGCTGTGGCACCATCATCTGTTACACTTCTTCAGGAACCAGAGAGCACAAAGTGCCTTGTCTGTGTCCTGTGTCCTCTGTCTTTTATCCAACAAGGAGGAAGCAGAGTGAGATGATGTGAGAGACCTAGAGGCAAGCTGCCCTCTGTGCAGGCAATCTCCCAGAATGAGACTGTGTACAACACCCCCAAATCATCTCTTTGGTTTGCAAAAAACCATGTTGTTCCTGTCCTGAACTGAAGCCTCTCTGTCATTGCAACAGCATTGCGTAAGATTTACAGTAGGTTACACGCATTCTTCTGTTGACTGTGCACATACAAAGTTTCAAAGCCAGTAACAGGTCTGAACATAGCTGGCAAAGTGGGTGGGCACAATGAAGCGTTCTGATCCAGTTTCTTGCCCCCAAAAATGCAGGAAGTTGTTCTGCAGGAAGAGTGCAATGTAGCAACGAAATGGAGCTTAAGCTAATGCTTCACTTGGATGTGGCCTCTAGTCTAACTAGTTCAGGAACAAAAAGTAATTATCCTTGCACTCAGCAGGTAGGGCAAGAATATGTGGAAACAGGAACACTGTATTGAGCATTCAGTGCTGTATTACCTCAGTTGCTAAACTGCTTCACAGAAATGGTGCTATATATCCTGTTTCATAAAAAAAAAGGGCCTTGCCTCTGCTTTGCAGTCACAGCCGAAGGTATCTCATACAGCAAGATTAGGCACTGTTTCTCACTGCTGCCCCACTTGCCTTCAAAGGTTATGTTATATACTACCTGCAATGGATGGAAGTGCTGTGTCTTCATCTGTCTCTTTCTTTCAGGGCAGATTAGCAGTACCTTCAAGAAAGAAATCTGGACTTCGGACATGTCAGACCCTGCTGGGAAGGGACAGGAAGGAAATTCGTTTCTCTTTGGACTTCATTGTGCAGTCCCAGTGTTAAAGACAGTGAGGATGCTCTGACTGAATTCCAAAGCTTTCAAGTATATCTTTTCTCTCTCTCTCTCTCTCTCTTTTTTTTTTTTTTTTCTCTCTCCTAATGCCTACTGTTAAACATGACTTTGCAGATTCATGAGAGAGTTTCTCGGTCCTCCTGTTGAATTCTCTGGAACTGCTTCAGAAAATGAAGTCTCCATTCTACTCTCTTAAAAGGATAGGCATGTTTCTGCCAATGCAAAGGTTGCTATACTCTTGTTTGTGCCACAAAAATAGAAGAAAAAAAGTGCTCTGGAAAATATACAGCAGGAGTCCTATTCTAACACTCTTATTATTTAGCTGGGTGTTGTTTGAAAACAGGGATATTTCATTGCCTTCAGTCAGACGATGGGGGTAATGAAATCTTTGCCTATTATTGTGGCAAAATCTGCCTTTGAATTAACATGATGATTGAGAAGAAAGGTGGTGTCTATGTTGTAATGATGTAATTGCCACTAGAGCATCGTTCCTCTTGTAAAATATCAATGTATCTGTTTCCTTACAGAATGAAGAGGCATAAGTTTCCTTACAGGTGTCCCACAAGAAAGAAGATTCTGATCCTGTGTTTTACAGGGTGGGTGATTGCACTCCTGAAGCTCCTCCATGTTGAAAGACACTTTTTTCCACCTAAGAGTATTTATCTGGTTGAGCACTTCTTGAGCACTTCTTCATATGTCAGAAACAGATATTCCTATCTTAGAAACCACTTCCAGTATGAAATTAACTGTTCTTCTATCTATGAGCAAGATCCTCAGGAAATCGGCAAGAGTTTAGAGATAAGAAGGAAAGATATAATTGATTTAGATGATGAAGATATCATTGCAATGACAAATGATTGTGACAGGTATCGTACCCTGAGGAAATACCACCTGATACCTGTTTCTCCAGAGGAAGAGAGTTTTCCAATAGCCTATTCTTTTGTTGTCCACAAAGATGCAGTGATGGTTGAAAGGCTCATACATTCACTGTACAGTCATCAAAATATTTACTGCATTCACTATGACCGAAAAGCAGCAAAAAGTTTTAAATCTGCTATGAACAATCTAGCTAAATGTTTTCCCAACATTTTCATTGCGTCAAAACTGGAGATGGTGAACTATGCACATATTTCAAGACTGCAAGCAGATTTAAATTGTTTGTCTGATCTGATGAACTCTGCGGTCCCCTGGAAGTATGTTATTAACTTGTGCGGACAAGATTTCCCTTTGAGATCAAATTTCCAGTTGGTTGCTGAACTGAAGAAACTCGGTGGGGGAAACATGCTGGAAACTATAAAGCCCAGTAGTAGCAAAAGAGAACGATTTACTTATCATTATGAACTTATGAAAGTGCCTTATGAATACATGCAGATGCCTGTGAAAACCAACATTTCCAAGAACCCACCACCTCATAATATTGAGGTATTTGTTGGCAGTGCCTATTTTGTTTTAAGTCGAGCTTTCATTCAGTACATCCTTAGCAGCTCTCTTGTAAAAGACTTTTTTGATTGGTCAAGGGATACTTACTCTCCAGATGAACATTTCTGGGCCACTCTCGTGCGTGTTCCTGGCGTGCCTGGGGAAATTTCGAGGTCTGCCCAAGACATCACAGACTTGCAGAGCAAAACTCGTTTGGTGAAATGGAATTATCTTGAAGACCATTTGTATCCTCCATGCACTGGTACCCATCTTCGTAGCGTCTGCATCTATGGGGCCGCAGAATTAAGATGGCTTATGAATTATGGGCACTGGTTTGCCAATAAGCTTGACTCCAAAGTAGATCCTGTCCTGGTAAAATGCTTGGCAGAAAAACTGGCAGAACAACAAAAAGAGTGGGTTTATTTGTCTTCTGACAAACATTTTCTGCGTATCAATCCTGCAAATGCCTCTCTATAGCAATGCTGTTTTTCCAGCTGCTGGTACTGTGTACTGCTATAGCTTGGTGCCTGGGATTCTCCAGCCCTGACCTGCTGCAGAGGAGTTCCTTCTGCATTAAGTTCAGGACTTTGAAGAGAGAGGTATCTGGAAACAATCTGTGAAATTAACAACACTCTGGTTGACTGTTCTTTAACTTGCCACAACAATCCCATAACTATTCTTCAAGGTGATTCTGGAAGCGCAAGGCTTGCTTTTGGAAGCCCTGGTACTATTTACTCTAATGGAATACTTCAGAAACCTGTTTTACATTGTGTGTTTGTGTCTTTCCTGAGAAACCCCACGACGCTTGTTCGCCTGTCCCCTTTTCCTGCACTTTTTCAATAAGGTATGAAACAAAGACCTCTGCATCTGCTACCTCAGGAAAATTGGAAGTGTCCAGCTTGCAGACACAATTAAGAGAGCAGTGTGACTGCTGCAGCCTGGAGTGCCCCTCTTTCCACCTGCAGGTGCTGACAGGGCTGCAATGTGAACTCTTCTGGATGCCACAAGGGAAGAAGTTACCCTTGGATGCCACAATAGCATTGTGTCCTTCTCCCAGCTTGGCTGTGCATGGTTTGTCTTTCTGTGTTTGGAAGTGTGCTGTGCCTGTGGAATGGGTGGTGGTGGATTGAAGCAATCTGTGTGAACACATGTGAATAATGCTCTACTGTTCTTCAAGGGCAGTACAGGTAACCATGCCAAACGATGTCTGCCTTCGTTTCTATCCCTGCCAGTAGAAATATCCTCCTGTGAAATCCCAGTTCTTCTGAGACAGTGTTTTTACATGTAATGAGTAACAAGTGCTATTTATAATCAGTATTCAGCTTGGTGGTGCTATGCTGAAATGCAAAACACACAATGTCCAGCAGCAATCGTACGAACAGTCACACTGCAGATAGGAAGGCCTTGCATATGCATCCATGGTCCCAGGCTGATCTGTGCCCAGAGAAGTTCTGCTTCAAAGCACGTTAGCATTGAAGTAGCTGTGCCCCAAGGCAGCCCATGCTGCCCATGGTCCCCACCGTAGGAAGGGGCTGAGCAGCCTCCTCTCAGCTGGGCCGTCATGTAGTATGAGCGAAGTGTTGGTCAGCGCAGAAACTTTGTGACTAAGAAATGCCCTTTAGCATTTCTGGGGATTCTCCACAATTTTGCTATGCCACCAGCTCAGTTTTGGTGGTTCCAGTGGGTGTTGTGGTCGTGCTTGCTCTGTGCTACTGTGCCATTTCTGGATATCTAGCGCTTTACAAGGTATCCTGTGTTACTGATCCTCAGATTGCCACAACAATGCCATGTGGCCACAAGAAAGCTTAGTTTCTTTTTTGAGTTTTAGGAAAACCAACTCATTCCTTTGTCTCTGTTTTTTGAAAAATTAGTTTTTTAAAATTTAGTCATGGTCAACGTGCTTGTGGCTTGAGATTGGGCTTGAATGAAGAGTCCATACTTTTCCCCATTTGTGACACTGATTTCCTTTGAGCCTTCAGACAAGTCATCTGACTTCTGTTCCAGCTGTAAAACGGGAACAACAATGCTCTGCTACCTTGTAAAGCATTTAGAAACCTATGGATGTTTGTTGTGGGCTGGTTGCACAGTACTATTTGTTCATCAAAGCTATTTATGATTAAGTCTGTGTGTGCACAAGTTGAATATTTCTCTTATTTACTGTTTCTCAAATAAATGGGGATTATTTTTTATGTGTATGCTGCTTACTTTGGTGACTTGCTGCATCTCACAGCTGACTTGATGCAATTTATAGATATTTTGCAGAATAGGGAACATTGACAGTATTTACAGATTCACACATCAGTACTAATATACAAAAAAACAGACTTTTCACATGGAAAGAGGTTAATAGCAGAAGATATTGGGATGCCAGAGGACCAAGCCTCAGCCAAGTCAAGCAAGCCTCAGTGCAGGTAAACTGATGTATAATTGGTTAGCTGATGACTTTTTACTTATAAGTACATACTCACATTCTCATTTGTGTTTGAGTTATTTGCTCTATCATAAGCTTATAAGCAAAACCCATCAGCATAACGAACTTAACTGAATTAAATAATTTTGATCAATGTGCAACTCTGTGCTACTTCAACTGAATTGGGTTGAACAATGTCTTTGATTTAAGTAGTCTGAAATAAGGCAGTGCTTGCTTCCTAGGTAACAAAGAAGTGAATGCAAAGATGACGTAAAGTGAGGCACCATCACCTGCTACAATGCTAGGTCTGCTAGCTGGAAAAGTACAAGTTGTATATGGTTTCTTCTTTATGAAATGCAAATTTTCTAATGAATTATAAATATATCTATTTTTGAAGGTAGTTTTAAAGGCTAATAAAAACTGTAGAAGGTAGTTCTCAAAACCATTAATGCTCATTCAGGCTAAAGATAATCTAAATCACTCTTTTGAGGCAACACATCCCAATTTTCCTGGGTTCAAAATTTGCTAAAAATATAAGTTCTTTAATGTTTGAATAACATTATGTTTGAATTCTGTTTTGTTTTGTTTTTTTCTTTGCTGTTAGCAGCGTAGATGCAAAGTTGATGTCTGTATCATAGTTCAGATCATGTAAGTGATTACGTAGTGCTGTTGGGGAACAACTTAATTATTTGCCTTTGACTTCACCACCTTTGTTCTTTACACAGGTAGGTCTTTCTTTGCTAAGTCATGATCCGTAAATACCTTTCTCTCAGTGAGAAGAGCAACTGAACATAGCTTATGGGAGAAAAAAAGTTATCTGATTTGGGCCGCAACTTTGATTATAGGCAATGATCTGTTGCTCTCTGATCTTTCTTTGCCTTAGTAAAGTCCAGATTTGCCTTTCTCCTTTCCTCCTCTCACTCTTCTTGTTAGTAATTTCATAAACTTGAAATGCACATATGTTTGCCATGTCAGATAGTTCACTCTGTTTTGCTCAAGATGCCACACTGCCCTTTTTCCACCCATCCAGTCCCTTGCTAGCTGCACAGTGGATTATCAGTTCACTTGATCTTCCTATGCAGGAAGGATGTGAAAGCAGGGCATTAATGTTGTTCCTGCTGTCAGTACAGGTACAGCCTGCTGCTTTGTTAGTGGCTGGAAACAGCTGCTGGATGTGTCCTAACATGAAAAGTAAAGGGAAGTGAGAAACAATGTGCTTTAAAGTAAGAACTGTGGGACATTTGTGCAACTTGACTCACTAATGAATTTCTTAGACTGAACACGGAGTTGAGGGGGGGCAATACAGAAGAACTAATATTTCACTGTGTATTTTCCTTGATGTTAGAATAAAAGACTGTGAAAGGAAATACTACAATTTAGACACCTAATCTATAATTGTAATTAGAAAACACTCGATCAGTTGAGCATTTCTGCAGATACTACATCACTGCTGCGACATGCAAGGCAGAATGTACGACCATGAGAAAAGCAGTTTTGTGACAGCAAATAAAGATCTTAAGGGTCATCTGTGTATTTATGGTGTGATCTCAGATTTTAGTCCAGGTACAGTGTCTGTCTGTGATGTGATATGGTGATAGTTCCCCATTTCACTGAAAGGCAAGTGCAGAACAGTGTTATCCATTAATGACACAGTAAACCTTCTCTGGAAATACCCCAGCACTCTTTGGTCTCTCAAGCCAATAGCTGTATGCTATTCTTCTCCCCTTCTTTCCAAGACTACCAGGCTTTTTGAGTTTCCCATGACTAAACTACACTAATCCTTAGAGCAGCAATCCTTTTTAGAGTGGAGGGAAAGTAAATACCATGCAGCTTTGGACTGGAAATTTTCTCAAATGAGATAGAAAGGAGCTAGAAGGCATTTTGGGAAGGAAGATGGAGAAAATATGTTTCCTTACTACAGAACTGCCACATATGTGTCTTAGAAAAGAATGGCTTAAGTGAAAGGTACCTACAGCATGGTTGCTGCTGCCATCTCTGATAACGATAAGCAAGACTTGCATTAAGTGTATTTTGAAAATGAAAATCATTGAAGAGAAAATGCTCAGAGCTTCTTTCAGCTTCTGTTCCTGTAAGAAATGTGTACTTAGAAAAATACTGAAAATGTACTGCAGCTTGACTAGTTAGTAACTCAGTACTGTGATATTTGCAACAGGAAGGGTAGAAAAAAAAGAGTCTGTGAATTCTTTGCTCAAGGCAGGTCAATGGTTTTTAATGATATTTTCAGTGTTATTTCTAGAAACCAATTTAAACATGTGCTAATGTGAAAAATATGTGACTGACTTCTGCCTTGCATCTCAAGTGTTAGCTGTAACACATTCAAGTTTATTTTAGAAAGTCTCTTCTCTGGGCTACAATTAAGAGACTTTGTTGTGATTTAATTAAAATTCCTATTGCTGAGCACTTTTTTACTGCTTGAATTTGTTCTCTGAGACTGAAAGGATGGCAAGTCTAAGCTTTACCCAGGGTGATGAGAAAGAGAATAGAGAGTACGCTGAGATTCTGCAGGTGACATTACTACCACCACAGCATAGCAGCTGGGAAATCAGAACTTCATCATTGACAATAAGGATAAAGGCACCATTTCTTCACAAAGCTAGCAGGGACTGGAAATCATACAGTTGGAATGACTACTCGCATATATTTTAGCACTAAAATGTTGATGACTGTGGGAAACAAGGCTTTCCTGTACAAGAAAGACCTAGTCATGCAGAAAGAGTGGAAGTCTATCAAGATGATGATGGGACAGGAGCATCTTCCCTAGGAGGAAAGGCTGAGAGATGTGTAACTGCTCAGCTTGCAGAAGAGGAGGCTCAGGGGAATCTTATAAAAAATACGTAAAGGGAGAGTGTAGATAAAACACTGCCCAGTGCCAGGACAACACAAACTGGAACACGGGAGCGTGAACACCGGGCAGCACTTCTATGCTACGCGAGTTTTGGAGCACTGGCAAAGGCTGCTCAGAGGCTGTGGATTCTTTTCCTTGGAGATTTTCAGATGCTTCCTAGTCATGAGCCAGAGCACCCAGATCTGGGTGTTTCTGCTTGAGCAGTGGTTGGACCAGATGGACCCATAGGTTCCTTCCAACATGAACCTTCTGTGATTCTCTGATTCTATGAATAACATAGGCGGATCTACATCTTTCTCTGACAGACTGAAATATTAGCTGTAGACAAAGAATTACAAGATTTTGCAAGACATTTAGCAGAAAAGTAGAAGTACTATTCCTGCAAGAAGTCCAAAATGGCAGAATTGATGGCATCCTGTTTTTATTTTCTCTAAGAGTTATAATAGTCCCATGTTTCCTGTGGTTTGTTCTTATCTGTTAATAATGCAGTCCCAGGTCCTTTGTGTCCTCAAGATACCTATACCAACTAAATTTTGCCTCTCAATTCTTCTGAGCTGCTCTGGAGTGCTTTTCTTCCAACAACAGCTGTAAGGGCTCCTAATACAATCAATGTGTATAATGGCTGAATTTCCGTTGAATGGGCATTGGTGGGACATGTGCATTTGCTCAGCTACTCTGGGCCTGAGCTGGTACAAAACTTAGGAGCTTCCGTCTGCTTGTCTTTCAAAGAAAAGTAATCCTTTGTTCCTATGCCTTCCAAGCAACCTCTTTTTCTTTCCCCATATTCTGCTTGGTAGAGGCAGAGATATGTATTAAAAGCCCGTATCAAGAGGATGCACCCAAAGAAGCACAATCATGTACATCATTAGAGAATGGGAAGAAATGTTTAGAAAATTCAGGAAATTGAATAAATTGATGTTCTGGGGACAGAATAGAAATAAAATGCACACAGCTATTATCTTATGCAGCCAGTTGGAGAGTTACTTCTCTGACCTGACTGCTGCATTTGTTTAAAAATATATATATATATCAAGTTCTTATTTTCAAGCTTTTGCTTAACTAGAATGTGAATACCAGCACTTGGTAAAGCTTCATCCCTTTTTTGGCAAAATAGAGATATACTGTGCAAAACCATGAACAGTTTAGATAGTTCATTATTTTGCTAGGCCTCAGTTTCCAGCTTTGAGGTAAGACAGAAAAAAAAATATTAGGGAAATAAACAGAAAAGCATCTCGCTGTCCTTAAAAAAAAAACAACACATCCCCTCAAGGATGGGGCTGCCTCTCAACAAACCAAGCTGGAGCAGGAATCAGCTCACTCAGCCAACAGAGCAAACAACTGCCTCTTTCACTTCCTCAGAGCCTATCAGGATTACAGCTCTCAAAACCAGTCAGCTAATTGTATTATCTATGTTGAACTCGTTGAATTAAGTTTGTAATCTTGAAGTTCTCTCTTGTGGCTTTCTTAAGTGAAGATACATTTAAAATCTCTGCGCACTTTGGGAATAGATGCAGTAGGTCTTGTACTAAATGCCTTGTCCTTACCTGAAATCATGGCAGCCAACTCTGATTCTATAGTCTTAATGCCACAAAGAGCTGAAGATATGAAAAAATGAGTCATCCTAAAATAAAGTAGTTGCAGAATTTTGCTTCTCTCTGGTCATCAGGTGCAAAGCTGTATATCCAGTTTCAGCAACCTTAGGCACATCATAAATCCAAATTGCAAAATGTGAAGTTATTAATATAAACTTACCCAGAGCACTTACCTGGCAAGTTTTGTTTCAGTCTCTGTGAAAGGAGTTACTTTTGGTTGCTGGGCAAATTACACATCACAGAGGTGCCCCCTTCCCCATCTGACACCACTGCACCTTTTCTTCCTCAGGGCTTCAGAGCATGTGCTCTCACTTCTGCTGA